TCGAAAGGGGCGGGGGGAGGGAGGAATCGAAAGGGGCGGGGACGGGGGAAGGGTGGAATCGAAAGGGGCGGGGGGAGGGAGGAATCGATAGGTAGATAGACAGCCAACCACGTTCAGCTTGTGTACCTCGCTTGGGTGGTGTAACTCGCTGAACAAGATACACTGTGTTCTAGCAACAAGTCCTCGGTTCGGTTACAGCACCAGACTGGGGAGCACGCACGGTTGGCCAGTGGTCATCGGGCGCAGTTGCAGACCGATCAAAAGGCGCACTGTGCGTTTGACTTCGTTGCCTGTGCTACGTTCGTTGTGGCAGACTTGTTTGTGTCGTGTTGACAAAGTCGTGTCCAGCCCCCTCCCTGGTCCGCGCATAAAGAAATATGTGGTTCCAAATCCTTGCGTTGGCAGTGCTTTCGGCGTACGGGTTACAGAAGCTGCAGAAAGCAGAGGAATTCCGTCTGACGGTGCGAGCTATTCAGTACGGCGGGGCGGCGGCGCTGCTGTTGTGGTACGTATATTCGACAGTTCACTTTGCGGGCGACTTTTGGGTCCACGTGGGCAGCCCCGTCCACGAGCGCGTATGGTCGTGGCTTTCGCATATGGGGCCGTTGACCAAAGCGGCCTTTGCTCAAGGGTTTGGCCATGTCGTGAACAAGTCGCAGCGGGTGCGACGCATGTTGCTGGGTGCTACCGGACATGACGTCTGGACGGAGGCAGACGCTCTCTGGATGGCGGCCACCGACGACGAAGACGAAGACGAGGTGGTTGCGGGACTCCTCGCCAAGCTCTCCAGTACCTTCGCATTCATTGCGCTCTTGTGTCTACCCCCCGTGCTCCTCTGGCTCTACAAAACTGGCCAGAACCACGGACTCCTGCCCGCCAGATCGTCCGGCGGTCGCAGACCTTCAAAGCTAGCCCGTAAACAGTCCCTCGACCGAGCTGAACGACTCGACCGAGCTGAACGACTTGACCGAGCTGAACGACTCGACCGCGCTGAACGACTCGACCGCGCTGAGAGACCCACTGCGAAGAAAGGATCGTGGCCCAGGTCCTACTTCAGGCGAGGCGAAGAGCCCGGCGAACAGTCCGGTGACCAGAGGCAAGTGCACTGGCAGTCCGTCGACACGCCAGAAGTGGACTTGGTCAGCTTGCAGCAGGCTCTCCAGTCCATCAAAAAGGAGCTGGCGGAAAACACCAACGCGATTCGAGCCACCGAGTACAAGATCCGGAGAGCCACCGCGGAACAAGATGGCTACCAAAGCCAGGACGACCTGGACCTCAATGAACCACCGACGCGAACTACTACACTACCCGCCTGGGTTGCACCCACGGCGCCGACAACCGCCACGGCCAACGCCACGGCCAACGCCATGGCCCAGGACCCCCTCACGACGTCACCTTTAGTCTCCCCCCAGACCCCTTCCTCTATGCCTCCGGCCTCGTCTCCCCTACACCCCTCAAGTGACGGACTGGCTGGCAGTCAGGTGGGCGGCCTGGTGGGCGAGACGTATGCGGACGGGACGCCCGTAGGGTACCTGACGACTCGGGAGCGAGAGTTGGGTGCGAAGAGTGTGAAAGAGTTAGTGAGTTACTGGACGTTGCGACGGAGGCGCAATTTGTTGCCATTACATAAGGTCGAGTTGGGACGGTTAAGCGAAGCGGAGGTGCAATTGCCTCGACCGATGGTGTACGCGATCATTAACAAGCGCCGTTCAGAGTACAAATACTTTTGGCTTACAGCGCAAGGCGTGCCTGCGACCATTTGCGATGGTTGCGGTTGGTGCTATCCCACGGCGGAACGCCATGTGTGTTCGCCCAAAGGCGCTGGCCCGGACGGACGAACGTTCGGTGAGACGAACTTCCGCGATGCCCAAGTGAGCACCGCCACCATCGAAAAGGCCTTCGCAACCATCAACGCCCTCAAACAGCGCCTGGACGAACGCTTCGATCCTGCGTTAGCGGTCCGACTTAACCGCGAAAAAGATCGCGTCGAAACCCTGCTCGACAAACCGCTCCAATTTGCACCTGATGGGACCGCCCTTCTACCGCCAAACTCCCCATCTGAAGACTTACTCACAGCCGAGTCTCCAGATGCCGGGTCTCCAGACGCTCGTGACACCGGAAACTTCCCGCAAACACGCGTGCGGAGATTTCGTTGCTGAGCAGGGAAAGCTTGCAAACCAACAAACGGCCGGAACGGCCGGAACGGCTGTCACAGCGGAAAAGACCGTGCCGCCGGGAACGGACGTCGCGTCTGGAGCGAACGTCGGGGAGACGGTGGCGGTGGGGTCGCCGTTGCTGGCCGTGCAGTTGGGGCCGCGGTGCGTGTTGGGAGTGGTGGACAGCGGGTCGCAGATCAACGTGTTGAGCGCGCCCACGTGTGCGGCAATTGGGGCCGAGTGCGAGACATTGGTGCGGCTGCCGGAGGCGCGGTTAGTCGGCGTCGGCGGCCGCGCCGGGCGCGCCTCGCAGTGGGTCCGGGTCCGCGTGGCGGCCTGCGGCCAACAGCTCAGTTGCGTCTTCGCCGTCTGCGAACTGTCGCAAGAACCCGTCATCTTAGGCATGCCCTTTATTGTCGCCTTCGGCTTCGACCACATCGCGCACCTGCCCCGCGAATCGCTCCACGACCACCCACTGGTGTTCGCGAGCCGCCGTTTGCAGACGGAGGCCGGGAGCGCAGACAATGGTTTGAGGAGGCCCCCCCAAGGACAGAGTCTGGCGGTAGAGGGGGCAGTGAAGGGCGCGGTCCTGAAAGATGCTTCGGAGGATGCCGGGTCGATGAGCGAGGAGGACGCGGCGGCACTAGCGGCGATTGTGGCAGGGATACGTGGAGACATTCGGGAGGAGTACGGGCGGCAGTTGCGAGCGGTGTTGGAAGAGAACGCGGAGTGTTGGACGGGCAAGCGGCGAGGGTTGATTGAGTGCATGCCGCATGAGATCCGGTTGACGACGGCTAGACCTATAGTTCAGCGTCCGCGACGTTATAGCGATGCGCAGTTGGCGGCAATCGATCGGGAGTTGGAAGTCATGTTGGCGGACGGCGTGGTGGTTCCGAGTCGAAGCAACTACTCTTCGGAAATCGTCATGGTCCTCAAACGCACTGGAGATTGGCGCGTCTGCGTCGACTTCCGTGATATCAATAAGTTCACCGTAGACGACCGGTACCCTCTCCCGCGGATCTGCGATTTGATCCGAGATATCCAGGATTCCAAGTTCTTCGTCACATTAGACCTCCGCTCCGGCTACTGGCAAATACCCCTCGAACCAGCCAGCCGCAAATTCACCGCATTCCGCACACACAGGGGCCTCTACGAATTCAAGGTCATGCCCTTCGGCCTCAAAACTGCTCCCGCCACCTTCCAACGAACCATGGACTTCATACTCAACGACCTCAAAGTCGTCTACGACCACAAAGGCGGAGCGCCCGAAGGCGGAGCGCCTGAAGGCGGAGCGCCCGAAGGCGGAGCGCCCGAAGGCGGAGCGCCAGGCAAGCGGGGCGGCGTGCTCGTGTACATTGACGACGTAATGATCCACGGTCAGTCGCCGGAGCTGTGTCTGAGTTTGTTGGACAAAGTGTTGCGCCGGTTGAGGTCGAACAATCTGACCATAAATTTGGCTAAGTCCACGTTCTTCCTAGCGGAGACTCTATACCTTGGTCACGTAATTGCTCACGGACTTGTGAAACCCAACCCCAAGCGTGTCCAAGTCCTGGACCACCTGGTAGTCCCTCAGAACCTGGGGCAGCTCCGACGCTGTCTCGGACTCTTCAGCAGTTTCCGGGCATATATCCCCAACTTCGCGGACAAAGCGGTTCCTCTTACGAACGCTCTCAGACTTACAGCACAGGCCGCAAGGAACCATGCGATGCTCCAGGGGCAAGCAGCATTGGATATGTCACAGTCTAACATACCAGCTGCGGATGCACCCACATGCGACGCCCTGGCGAGTGGGATTCAGGAGGCCAACGCAGGCTACCAGAATCATAGCGAATACCCGCTTGTTGGAGACGAGCTGGCCATTGAACATGCTTTGTTCGTCCTGCGAGAGAACCTCAAGGAAGCAGTGCTCATCAACCCCGTCGACGGAGACAGGTACATCGTATCGACAGACGCGTCGGACTTGGCTGTGGGAGCTATTCTCTGGGTCGAACGGTCAGATAACTCATCCGGTGAACAGATCGGGAAGGCGGAAACCGGACTGAAGGGGAAAATTGGACCCAAGGCAGACTCTGTCCGGCTGCCTGTTCAGTTTGCGTCGCAGATCTTGAATGCCACTCAAAGGAACTGGAGCACGACCGAGAAGGAGTGCTGGGCCTTGATATTTGGCCTGCTCAAATTCGAACAAATTATTCGACCGCACGAAATTATACTAGAGACCGACCACCAAGCACTAACTGCCCTGATGAATGCGAAGACTGGTAAGCTCGGAAGGTGGGCAGTTCTGATCAGCGAGTTCAACATGAAAGTCGCATGGAAAAAAGGTACTTCAATGGCCCACGTGGATTGTCTCAGTCGAGATGTTATGCCAGATCCACTAGTTGAAAGAGCATGTTACTCACCATGACCCACCAGCCGGCGCCTTTTCTCCCTCTCTATTAGTGGTGACCTCCCTCCCTATTGGTGGTTACCTCCCTCCCTATTGGTGGTGACCTCCCTCCCTATTAGTGGTGACCTCCCTCCCTACTGGTGGTGACCTCCCTATCTTTTTTTGTTCCAATGATTTACGTGCTGAAGGGGCTGCTGGAGGGGTCACATGACTGGGGGAAATTCTATGAATTTTGACTTGTTAAGCCATTGGAGAGATATCGTAAATGGGAAGAAAGGGGTTAGTCATCATCGTGCGATGGAGATCCGGAAGGCGCTGGAGGACAGAATCTTAGAGGATTCATATCCAGCCTGGAGTTCGGGTGAGCTTCCCGGTCGGCAATCAGAGTTGACCCGGGATATCATGGTCGCTGAGTTCAGGGCGTTGTGCGAACAATATGACCGGTCTCGGTTGCTTGGCTTAACGAACAAGACCTTGGATAGGAAGTTCGCAGACTTGTACGGAGATGCGCAAGTGGAGCATGGGATGGACAGTTCTGAAAAATTCCTGACACACGTTCGAACCAAACTCTTTCAGGAGAAGGACCGCATGTTCGTGGCCGAAGCAGCCCTCAACGACATCAGCAAGGACCTCGAGACCTCAGTCACACTTTTCCAACGCTATCGACAAAACCTGGCCAAGTCGCACAAAGCTATGATGCAAGTTGTACGCAAGGCGGAATCCGACGGAAGACACCTTCGACTCGCCTGGATCTTCTTTTGTGGCGTCTGCACGTACATCATACTTAAGCGACTCCTCATTATCAGGATGATCTACTACGTACGTGTTCTCACACTGGCACACAGTCTCTCACATTGGCACACACTCTCATGGATACACTCTCATGGATACACAGTCTCATGGATACACTCACGCATCCTTTGTTATGCAGTTGATGAAGCTAGTTAGATTTGGGATGCGGCTGCTGCAGATGGGCTTGAGGTCCGCGATGTCCAAAAGTCAGGTCGCGCTAGACGCCACTTCAGATGTCTTACCGACAGCAGCCGAGCTGTAGAGCACGCCGGCGAAGACGGAGTTGTCCGGTCAAGACCGAACGGGGTCTTGACCTTTCGTCGCAGGTATTGATCTGCCTGCACTGTGCCAGTGTGGCTCTGTGGTGCCTTACCTCCGCCGACATATGTGGTGCCTTATCTCCAGGGCTCTGTTTCCAGGGGTCTGTTGGTTCTATTGGAAGAGTCGGCGCGTTGGGGTACAAGATCTAGGTCGTGACGGCCACTGTTTGGTGTCTGTAGTTATTGAGGATGGCTTCCAGAAGGTGGTGGCTTTGAAACTTTTGCCCGACAGCAAAGGAGCATACAGCTCCTGGAGTTGAACCAGCGCGTGGACCGGTTGAGTTGGAGGCTATGATGCGGCTGAGACCCTTCATCAGTCGTTTCATCTTACGGTCATTAGCGTTGGTTTCGTTGGACCAGATGCTCCAGATAGCCGCTTTGAGATCTTGGGACTCACGGGTGGCCTGTTCTAAGCGGATCTGAGTTGTGAGCAAGGTCTGACGTGTGTGTCGGAGTGTTTCGCACACTTCGCGCACACGCAGCCGCGAGGCCAACAGGTTCCGGTCGCTCTTGTACAGAGCCCGCAGCCATACAGACATGCAAAAGTTCTTCAGTCGCAAAGTCCGCCGCAGAACGAGCATACGCCCACGCAAAGACAATAATGCCTTCGAGTTCTCTCGAACGCAACGGTGCAATTCAGCCTTGAACCCTCTCTGCAACGCAACCTGGTCCGCTTCTTGGTCTTGTCTCGGGTCTCGAGATACTTGCCCGCGATCTTGCCCCTGGTCCTGCTTCCCGTCTTGCTTCCGGTCTCGGCTTTGCGCCATCTGAAACGCCGCGTTCTTCTCCTTCAAACGTCCCAGTTCGCTCCGTAAGGAGGTCTCGGTTCTGACTTTGTGCGCGAGGGTGTTTTTCACTCGAGCACACTCCTCGTCCAGAAACTTGTAGTGCTCTTTCAGCCCGCACAACTCCGTCTTGGTCTTCTCAAAATTCTCCTGGACACCCTTCAGGGCCTCGTTGGTACCCTTCAACGTCTCCTGGGTACCCTTCAAGGTCTCTTGTGTCCCCTTCAAGGTCTGCTCGGTACCCTTCAAGGTCTGCTCGGTACCCTTCAAGGTCTCCTGAGTGTGATGCAGCTCTTCCCGAGCCTGCGAAAGCTCTTCCCGCGTCTGAGAAAGCTCTTCCCGCGTCTGAGAAAGCTCGCCACGAGTCTGTGAGAGCGTGTCCACCTCAGCGCTCAGCTCCTCCTGTTGGCTCAGCAGCTTCATGCGGTTGGTTTGCAGCTCGTTCTGGCAGTTCGCTAACTCCTTCTGGAAACCTTGCAGGGATAACTCGGCCGCGGCCAGCTCCTCCCGCAGCTGGCCCTCTCTCCTTTGGCAGACAGCTGCTCGTTCTTTCTCCTTCAACTCACGTTCCTTCTCCTTGTCTCGCCACTCCTGCTCCTTTTGCTCCCACTCTTTCTCCTTGTTTTCCCACTCTCGAAGCTCGGCCTGACGCCGCTCAATGATGTCGTCCAGCCGCTCCTTGACCTCTACGTCTCTCTGGTAGTGCAAGTTGTCCTTGAGCGTGGTCCAACCGCCGCCTTGGGACGACCGTGTTTGCAGCAGTCTCAAGACCAGAAACAGGCGTTCCAGGGCCACGGCTCGCCGCATTCGCACATACCCCTCCGTCAGCCAAGGAGCGCCGTCCCCTGACGACGCAGGAATATACCCCGTGGCGGAACATTGCCGACCAGCAGAGGAACAGAACAGTATCCCCTGACATCCATACATCTCTTTCGAAATCTGGGCAACCAACTGGCAACCTGCAGAGCTGGGACCACCGGATGGACCACATGCTGCTTTCAAGTCCAGCCGAGGAATTCTTGTATCTGACTTGGGTGCAAGTCTTGATGCCATTCCTGGGTAGCTGTAAGGTTCTTGGAGATAGAGTTGTCTGTAGGAGTCCGCGATCGTAGCGCTGGTGGTCCTGGGCACTCTCATCAGCGAAATGGGGGTACCACGACCGGCGCTGGTTGCGCCTCCGTAGCTGTAAATGGGAGTTCCTGGAGAAGATGGCGAGCTACCGCTGCCCCCTGGCCCGTGACAGGAGTCCCCGCTCGAGCGTCCAGAACTGTCGCTCGAGCGTCCAGAACTGTCGTAGCTCGGGACCATTCGCCGCTCAGAGCCAATACAGGCTGCGGAGCTTCCAGCGGAGTTGTCACAGCTACCGGCGGAAGAGCTGCTGCCGCTGGCTGAACGGGCGCCACATGACGTAAAGGCGGGCCTGCTAATTTTAACGGTTTTGTCTGTATTCTGAACATCTGTTGGAGCCCGTCGGTGGCCATTGGTCTTGCTGCGATGTCCTCCAAAGATCATTGACCCGTTCCGAAACCTGTTAGGCCATAAGGTAGTCGCATCACAAAGTAATGAAGTCATTTCCACTGTCGAACAAATTGTGGGGAAATCGCTCGATTTTCGATCGCGACGAAATGAACTTTATATTTTGTCTTGTACTTCTAGCCACAGCGCAGCAACCGGCTAGCAGCCTACCAAGCAGTCCGCAAATGGTCATGATACCGGTGCAACCACGACAGGATAACCCATTCAACGACATGATGGGCACCATTTTCGGTTATCCTTGGGGCTACCCTTACCCCCGGAGGCTACCGTTTGACAGAACCTTCTCAGAAGCCTTGCAATTTATCCGCCGGGAATGGTTGAACATGGTAAGCCAGCGCTTCGAAACCGCGTCGCTCAGTTGGGGACCGAGAGCGATTTTGACAATGAGGAAGATCTCGAGGATGAGGAAGATCTCGAGGATTAGGAAGATCCTGCCTGACGAACACAATATGTATTTTAGGGAGAACCCTTCCAGCGAAAAACTGCGTTGAACGTCACGCCACCGGACGATCGCCAGAGCCCTTTGATGAATCTCATTCAGCTACCCCGCACCTTGACAATCCCACCCAAAACACCGCCACTGAGAGGCGTAGAGTACGCATAGAAGACCATAGACATGTGCAAAAGCCCAAGCACCCCCAGATAAGCCTAGCCAGCAAACCATGAAAGAACACATCAATTCATGGGAGACAGAAGCACACGTGTGTGATGCAAGCGCCTCAAAATGCTCAGGACATCAGCAAAGCTCGCAATGAAATTTGGTGGGCGGGGGCGCGTACCTTCATGCTAAACCTATTCAAATTTAGGTAAACCCACCTGCCGTATAATTGATGCTGCTTCATTATTGATTATGATGAATTTCCTGATGGTTGAATTTCATGGTGGTACTTTAGAGTATTCAGTTACTATTTTTGGACCGGTTTGCTGTTGATTATTGGATCGTTGATTTTCGTGAGTACATTTTTGCTTGGCAGTCCAAGGATCAATGATCGCGTAATTTGTCCCTCCCGTCGGCCTTCTTTTGCTCTGGCTTACATTTGGTGTGCGATCGCGCTCATCCATTTCGCCACTGCCTGGGGTCACGCGTATATTGAGTCTCTGCCTGAGGAGGAGTTCCAGCAGCTAAGTCCGCAGCAGCGGGCCGTAGGCTTCAGCGTAAAGACGCTGCCACTGGCCACGCGGCTGCTTCTACTCTGGACTGGCTTCATGCTGCAAGTAATTGTGCTCCAAGTGCTCCTAGCACCTGAGTGCAACGGCATCAGCCTCCAGGGTGGCATTTCCCTATGCTGCTTCATCTGGCTGCTCGTTATTGCCCTGGGCATTGTCAGCCGCACAAAAACTTTCATCACGCCGTACATTTACGACCCTTCTCACGAGGAACAGCCGACCCTGTTTACGCAAATCAAACAAGCGACCAAAGCCATTGGACCTTGAGCCATAGACCGCAGTGAACCATGAACTATAGACCGCAGTGAACCATGAACTACGATGAACCATCCGACCGCAGTGAGCCACGAGCCACGGTGAAACCATTGGACCCTGATGTCAAGGTCTTCAACCATGAACGCGTGGATTCGAACCTGAACCGCGGTCGCTTGGATCTGGACCCACAGCACCTGTCCACTGGACCAGCTTATTCGTCGGCGTTGAACCAGTACACACCTGCGATGATGGCGTAGGCGACCATAAGCATGGCGCCTTCGAGCCAGTTACTTTCGCCGTCTTGGACGACTCCGATGGTGATGAGTATGGAGATGACGAGTACGACGACGGCGATGTTGTCGAAGGCGAGGGTCATGGGCACGTCCATGACCCAGCCTGCTATGACGGCAAAGGGTACCATGAACATGGCGATCTGTGTGCTACTTCCGACGGCGACGCCCATGACGAGATCGGGCTTGTTCTTGATGGCGACGGTTACGGCGGTGGCATGTTCGGCGGCGTTTCCGACGATGGGTAGGAGGATGATTCCAATGAAACTTTTGCTTAGACGGCCGGAAGCGCAAACGCCTTCGATGCTTGAGACCAGCGCCTCAGACTGGAGCGCCACAAGCACGGTCGAGGTCAGCAGGAGTAAGACGCAGGTGGGCCAGGACATGGTTGGCCAATCGTCGCCGACCACATCCTCGACGGCTACTCCGTCGACCGACTCGGCCATGAGGCTGGCGGCATCTTCTCGCTGTTCCTGTTTGAACAGGTTCAGGTGGGTATAGAGCTGGAAGAAGAGATACAAGAAGTAGGTAAAGCCAACAAGGACAGCCGTGAAACGTGAGACCTCCAGCACCGTACCAGTGTCCTCCGGGTGTGCATCCCGCAGAGTAGTCGGCAGAATGAATGCCAGACACGCCAACATCAACATAGAAGTCGAACAAGATGCACCCTGCCGATTAAACGTCTGGATGTGATGAAATAAGCCACCCGCCAAGAATGACATACCCAACACCAATAGCAAATTAGACAGAATCGAACCCAACAACGTTCCTTGCACCACCGTCAACAACCCTTCGCGCAAAGACTGAATCGTTAAGATCATCTCTACTGCGTTCCCAAAGGTCGCGTTTAGCAAACCACCTATTAAATCGCCCGTATGCAACGCCAACTCCTCTGTAGACTGACCTAGAATCGCTGCCAATGGAATCAACGCAATGAAGTTGAACCAAAAAGTATACAACGCACCCCTGCAAACGAACTCATAGCAACCCTTGGCGGGCGGGACAGGGAGGGAGGGGAGAAAGGGAAACGCCTACCATCTGCTGGCAGCAATCAGTCCCAGAGGACAAAAGATAAGAAGCACATTCAGTTTGGAAGCCATAAGGTCCTTTACTCCAAGCCAATCGGTATACGCCGTGTAGATCGGTCCATCGGCCTCCGGAATCATCTTCGATGAGTCGTTGATCAAGGACTCATGCATTCCCCCGTTCGGATACAACTTGCTCTCAGGTATCTGATTCATAACCGTCGATAATCGACGACTCGAATACGGCTCACTAATGGTCCTGCGCAGGTAGGACGCAGCTCGTATTTTATGCATAACCATCTTCGATCACCTCCTGGCCAGATTAGCACCAAATCGAATCGCCAATCGGAAAAAATATGGACCGGCCAAAACGAGTATTTTTGGCAGACTCCACAGATTCCCC